TAATTAGTATCTGAGACTACTTTATCCAGGCGGAACAAATAATTTTTAAAGGTTAAGATCTCCTTATTTTTGCTTGATAACATATTTTATAAGACTCCGAAATAAAGAGGAAAGAATGGGGAAAATATTTATAATTTATAACCAAAGGAATGGCAGCAGCCAGACGAGAAAATTTTTTTTTGAAATTTCGGCAATACTTTTTTTTTAAAATAGTTATAATTTATCAAATATGTCATTAATTATTTGTTAATTTTTAGTGTAGCTATTTTTTTTATTATATTTTAAAATTATTTAAGATTCAATAAGAACCCATATCAAAATATTATATTCAAATTAATTGAAATTAATGCCGAGTTATTATACTAAAAATTTTATCACGCCTCCTCCCCCCCCCCCTTCAAATAAACAGAAAAGATAAAAAGATATCTATAAAGATCGTAAAATAATAAAATTAATAAATATTTTAAATTGGGGAAATCCCTTATTTCACTTAGATGTAATTTATTTTTGAATTGCCATTCAAAATTGATATTCTAAACAATAATGTTGTAGACTTTATTCATCTACACTGTTTAAGAATGTGACTGCCAAAACCACGGTTGTGTATTTGACCGGTCAAATATAGTTAAAATCAAATAAATATTATTTTATATTGAATATCATCATTTTCTTTAATATTTTTTAATCAATTTTCTTTTTGTCTAAATCTTCAATCGATTTCTGTTTTAGTAAGATTATTGACACAAATCGACCAATTTCTTTCTGAAGAAGAAGTAGATCTAGAAATTGTTAGTAATGTCACTTCTCTTAATGGCCATGGTGGTCAAAGCTAATTCCACTGCTTGAGTTTGAAATCTGATTGTTTCTTATGGAAGTTACTGCTATTCCCATGATTTTCTATTAAACAAGCCGCTTTTATTTCTGAAATTTATGATATAACTGGAAATATTTTGATCACCACCTTGTATGCCTAATTCTTTTATTATATTACATACTTCATTAAATTCACTATGATTAAAATGCTCTCCTTAATATTAGGAACTCAATAAGCATTGTGATCACATTTCACATGTATTTATATCGTTTTTTCTTTTTCAAACATATTTTTATATTCAGATCTTATAGAATATATGACCACTTGACCAGGTCAAATATTCTCCCGTTAATTGACCCGTCAAAATCTAGTCATTTGACTGACTTGCTAACCCTGGCCAAAATTGATTGATAAATTTATAAATATTAAGTCATCAGACAATAAATAGGAATGCTACCCAGATATCAATTTCGCCAATAAATATCAAGATTTAACTAATAAACTCAATGATTAATATATTGATAAAGCTGAGTTCCTTGTGCGCGATTATTATAAAATAAGAAGTTCGAAGGAAAGGATAGGATAGCGAAAAAGTGTATTTCAATAACAAATTTCATAAACCAGATCTAAGTTAATTAATCATTATATAAATTTTTTAAGGTTAAAAGAAAATTACAAACTATGTGAATTAAAAAAATATTATTCAAATAATATAATTATAAAAAAATGATTCAAAATAAATTAGTCATTATTAGCAATTATCGCGATATTAAATTCTCTATAATATTTTCGCGATTATTGATTCGCGATTAAAGTTTCGCGGTATTGTATTCGCTTTAAAGGTTTCGCGGTAAAGATTTCGCTATAAAATTTTCGCGATTATTGATTCGCGATAAAAATTTCCCGGTAATGTATTCGCTTAAAATGTTTCGCGATAAAAGTTTCGCGGTAATGTATTCGCATTAAAGGTTTCGCGATAAAGGTTTCTCTCTAAAAAATTCGCGATATTTGTTTCGCGATATTGCATTCGCGGAATAGTACTCGCTATTATGTATTCGCGATAAAAGTTACACTATAAAAACCATTCGCGATAAACACGCGATAAAAGTTTCGCGAAAAAGTGTTTCGCGATAAATGTTTCGCTGAATTGACATGGAACTTTAGTATTCATCTCACTCCTCTTTTTTTTTTTTTTAAATTGCTATCTCTTGTGAACTCGATCGCTTTGTTATTTTGAAAAAAATTTTAGCTTCGCCACACAGCTACATATTAAAATATGTTTTCCAGCACTTGCATTTTCTCTTTTTTAATTTATACTCAACACTATTTTATTTCGCAATATTATTCTACACTTTCGCCGCTACATTAGTTTTCACACTCGTTAATTTAAGATTCTCGCTTTTAATTTATAAGGCTCCTACACAAATTAATTACCTTAGCGCATTATTATACCGTTCTCTTTATTCACCAACGCACTATCTTTGAAATTTCTAAATATTTGTCTCGCACGATGATTTTCATTATTTTATATTCATCACACAAAAAGATATTACGTTCATTTCTAAATTCGAAACCAATAATTCCACTCTCATTACATCCCTCGTCATTGATTTCACAAATATATATTTATCTTTTCTCTATTAATATAAATCTCTCCCACAATTGTATTTCACTTTCGCTTTTTGCGCTTTCAATTTATTTCGTTCTCTCCATTTTAATTCAAAAACATTTGTACACTGTATTTTCAATAATTATGTATTAATAACTCAAAAATTTCAACAATACTTTTTTTAAACCCAAATTTCATATTTTTTTTTTCAATACCTTTACAACAATAAACTAACCACACTATAACTTTCCCATATCTCTAGGTAAAATTCACTGCTTTAATATATATTAATGCAACGCTATCACATTCCCCGTAAGTTTCGGTCATGGCATCATTATGATAATTATATACAATAAAAAAAACTACCGTTATTGTGAAAATTATATACTATAAATTCTACTAGTAGTACAACGCCATTTTATAACTCTAACAATTAACCAACACAACTCTAAAACTAAAATTAATAAATTTTCAACTCCAAATTTTATTGATAAAATATATTAAAAAAAATAAAAAGTCATAAAAGTCATGATAATGATAAAATTTAATCCCTTTTATACTTTCTTGGGATAAAGAGATCACGAGTTCCACACGTGATATATAAAATCAGGTGAATATTAATAAATTTGATAAATATTAAACAAAATAATTTTTAAAAATAAATAGTTTTAAATAATAATATGACAAAGATCTCATCTTATAATATATTATTTTTTATAATTTTATTTATATTATTATATATATATAGGAAGTTTTGTATATAATATTTAAGTTTTCAAGTAACAAGTAGTGTTACTTCCTGAATAGCCATTAAGTTCTTTTTTCACAAGGTAACGAGTAACGGTAATGCGTTTCTTTAATTACGTAATGAGTAACGACTTTCTTTTTGAAGTAACATTTACGCACTAATTATTACCATTAATAAAAATTTGATGATATTTCTATTCTTACATATTATATTTTATGCTAAAAACTTAAAAGTTTTTCTGTATTTTTTCTCAACTAAAAAATTAAAATTAAATTTAATTTACAAAAATAATAATATTCCAAAGATTTACATTAAAACAGTTGTAAATTGAATTTTTTTATAAAAAGACAAAATAAAATAAAGAACAATTTGATATTATTTTAATTTTGCATTTCTTTGCTTCGATTGCCACAGCTACATACAGGGTTTCCAGCTTAACATTTTTAAATTAGTGGATAAAGTTTGCAGATCTTGGACGGGTGAAGAGATAGGGCTTATTTGCCCCTTTTTTTTATAGTTGTTACTTTATTATACTTTACAAAATCAGTAGTATTTTATTTATTATATAGAGCTTATTAAAGCGTTTTTTTGCATTTTATTTTAAATAATATATTATATGATGGATATCTAGAATTAAAGCGATTTTTGTTAAAAGGAATATTTCGCGATAAAATATCATATTTTCTAAAAAAATATCAAATAAGCAATATTGGGTAGATGTCTTGCCTTATCTATAAGGCTGTGTCCTAAATATCAAAAAATTGCATAAAAATTGCATCTCGCAATTTGTGCGAATCTAGCGAAAAAAAAATATAAGCCATTTTTAATTGAATTTTGAAAATTTTTATTTAAAAGTAATACTTATTAATTTTACTTGAATTTAAATTAGTACAAAACATTTTTTGCTACCCTCCAAAGTTTAAGAAAAATGTCGTGCTCGTATATCGTGTTATTGGTTAAAACATATTTATCATTATAATTTAAATATTTAACTTCTAATAGAAAGAGAGCACCGTTCCTATATTTTTTTATTGATAATTTCTTTTTAGTTAACATTAAACAAATCTACTATTTCTAAATTTAATATTTATAATTTAATATTTATAATTTAATTATGATTAAATGTAAAAAAAAATTTAATGTCGGAGAATTTTTAAGATATTAGGAGATTTTCGGTAGAGAAGTTCTGTGCGTGTTGTGGAAAAAATTACGGGAGCCTAAAGCTGATGGGTGGGGGTGAGGGACGAGACCCGACAACTCTGGCATATATGGTTTATAATATATACAAAAAAAAATGCAACTTTTAAATGGCATGGAATCTCAGAAGTATACATCCCGAATGAAGCGCATATGATCCCTAGCTCGATTCCCAGTTTGAATCAATATAGTTTTCTAAGAAAATATTTAGTAAATTTATCTTATTTTAAAAAATAATACAATTTGGCTAAAACGATTGAAGCGAAAAAAATTTAAAATACCAAATGGTTCAGCACAACTTTAGGTACCTTTCAACAATCCATTATTTATTTTTAAATTTTACAAAAGGTAGCTAACCAAATTTTGCAAAAATTTGAATAATATCGATATTCTCATGACCAAACTCCAAATTTATTGAGAGTTTAAATAAATAAGTTTGCTAATTTATGTAATAAGGATAAAATGCAGTCAATTCTTTTGCCGTTTATATTTTTCTTTTGTCATTCATTAAGGAAACTTATTCTCTTTTATGTTAGTAGTAGATATTTTTTTTAAATTATTTTTTACTTTTTGAGGGTAATCGAAGTTATTTTGAATATCATTTTATATATCTATATATTTTTAATATATAGCTCTTTATCGATTAAGAAATAGTAAAGAAATTGATGATGAAATCGAACAGATGAAAGTAGAATACGAGGATCAAGGAAGATTACCCAAGGTAACATGGGCAGATATGATTAAAAAGCAAGTTTATAGGAAACCGTTAATTATTGCAAGCGAAACTCACATCTCTCAACAACTCTCAGGAATAAGTGCTGTAATATTATATTTACAAATTATTATAATAAAATTATGTATTTCCTTAAGGTCATGTCATATTCAACAAGCCTTTTTTTAAAAGCGGATCTCCCTTATCAATCAGCAATCTATGCTACAATCGGTTTAGGAGTCCTTTATTTTCTTTTGTGCGGTCTATCTTCATTAGTAATCGAAAGGGCTGGCAGAAGAACCCTTTATTTAACAGGATTAGGTGGAATGTGGTTTAGCAGCATTTTTCTGACTATCATGTTAGTTTTGGGTAGTAAACCTGACAAATCTTGGGCATCATATCTGGCGATACTCTTTGTATTCACCTATGTAGGATTTTGTGCTATAGGACCAAGTTTATACGAAGTTTTTTTTGATATGCAAATAAATATTCTCATTTTTTATAGGCGTAATAGCTTGGTTTATAGCCACCGAACTTTTTACACAAGCAGCAAGACCTCATGGGTGTAGTTTATCCGTGTGTTTTAATTGGCTTTCAAGCTTTATAGCCGTGCTGTTATTTCCAATATTATTAGTTATATTTTTATCATTTTAATTACACACATCAATCCGTTTTCAATGTTACTTCTTTCTTTTACCCAGGATCTGATTAAGGGTCATAGAATTTAAATGAACAGTCAATTTTTTTAACGTTATTTCTAGGTTTAAAGGAAGTTTACGAAAAAAGTTGGTTTTAGTCCAATAGTTAAGTATCTAGATATGATTCAAATATTACTGTCTAATATACAGAAACATGGTATTTAAAGGGTTGAAAAAGATATAAACTTTAAAATAATTTTAAAAAAAATATTTAGATAAGAAGCTTTTAAAATATATTTTTCAAAATTGGAGATAATTGGCTTATTTTAAGAGTTAAGTAACATATATCAAAATATTTATATTGTATTAATTTTTCCCCTTTTCGAGTTTTAAGGCACTTCAAGAAATGTTACACGAGTTATATTTATTGTGTATATAATATTTGAAAAAATTAAAAAGTATCTTTACTGTATTTTTTTACAAATTAAATAGCTAACAATGTTAATATATTAAAGCTTATACAGATGATTTGATAATATTTGTTAAAATTTCAAGCTTGTTTTCAAAATTATTTATGCATTTTAAAAATATTTTTATTTAATAAAATCTAAGCTCTTTAATATTCGAATGGTTTAATCGTTTATCTAAATCATTTTTAAGTTATTCATTGGTTTTTTATATTAACAATGTTCTTCGTAATTCATATTATATTGTTCCTACTATTGATCATTTTTTAAAAGTTCATAATCTGATAATATCCTCTCCAAGTATCTATTTAGAGAGCAATCAACAATAATATCCGAATTTATATAACTAATTTTTTATTTCTGATAAATCTGAATTTCTAAAACTTATTGTAATCAAATGTCTCATATTTAAATATTTGATTCACTGGTATAAAATTATTATTAATAGGTAACACTGCAATAAAGCAAAATCAATTTTGTGAAATCTTGTTTAAAATAATCAGCTCTAATATAATATAGTGTTGTAAACGAACGTGTTCAAAACGAAGTTCGTTTTTGAAAAAAATGTTGAACGGCGTTCCTTTTATTTTTGACGAACTTTGAACGTAAAAACGTTCCTTTTTTTATGACGAACGCGTTCGAATTTAACGTTCGTTCAATTTAAAAACACTTTTTATTTTTATTTATTTGAAAAATTTATTAAGAAAAAAGTTTTATATTTTATAATCAGCTGTTTTTCACATTTCAATTTTTTTAACACATCATTATTATAGTTTATTAATCTGAATATTATTGTTTATATTTTAATTTAATAGAAGCATAAGTATGGATATTATTATTTCATCATCATCATCTGATTCTGAAAATTCAAAATCAGATGAATTAATATTACCATGGTCAAATATGATAAATATTTTACAGTAACATCCTATATTGAAGGAACTAATTCAATACTTAGCCAGTGTAATGTGCCCAAAAAGTATTATACCAGTGTCAAAATCTTCAAGTTCCAATTTAAAACGACATTTGCTTATATAATATTAATTATTTTATATAATATAATATAACTAAGTAAAATCATTAAATTTGAAGAAAAAAATGCATTTGGGCTATTTTAACCCAAACATAAATGATAGTTATTTTATGATTAAAAAAAATTAGTGACCTCAAATATGGTCAACCATTGATAGACGCAGTATTAAATGGGATTAATAAAAGGTATTATACATATCACTATCAAATTAATTACATATATTTTATTTTTTTAAAGATTTGAACATATATATGAAGATCAATATGTTATTTCTGCAATTATACATCCAGTATTCAAACTTCAATGGCCATGGATACAACTTCCACAGAACGAACCTATAAAAAATAAACTTATAGCTTTATTGAAAAAAATGCATTGAAAACCTAGAAATAATAATGCAAGAATTGTTAATTTCGAGATATCCTTTTTTTTGATGATGAAGTAGAGAAAGGTGGAGGAGGGTAACTTATCTCAATTTATTGAAGCAAATAACAAAACAATAAATGTTAATAAATTCCCCACGTTAAAAGTGGTGTTTATTAAATGTAATACCGCAATCCCCTCATCCGCCCTTGTAGATCGCGTTTTTAGTATAGCTAATGCTGCATTAACTGCCATTCGTTCCTGTCTATCAGTTGGAAATTTTGAAAAATAATTGTTATTAAAAATTATTAAGAAAAATTTTTTATAAATAAAAATATCTTTTTATTTGATAAATTATATTGTATTTATAATTATATTATCAATATAAAACTATATTATTATTTAAGGCTGTGTCCAAAGTATCAAAAAAATTTAATCGCACAATTTGCGCAAATCTAGCGAAAAAAAAAATATAAGCCATTTTTAATGGAAAATTAAAATTTTGGCCTAAATCATTTTTTGGTATTTATAGAAATTTGACTACATTTTAATTTTCCATTAAAAATGGCTTATATTTTTTTTTCGCTAGATTTGCGCAAATTGCGCGATTAAATTTTTTTGATACTTTGGACACAGCCTAATATGGCTAATATATTGTGTTAAAAAATATAAAACATTTATTTATATTAGATTAAATTAAAAAAAAAATTTATCATAAAATTTTGAATGAAAGGGAACGCGTTCGATTTTTGTCTATGAACTTAAACGCGAGCGCGTTTCATTTTTTTAGAAATGTTTACAGCACTACTATAATATATTAATATCCTTAAATAAAATATATGAATTAAATACTTCATTTCAAGGGAATTATCATTTTAAAATAAACCATAAATTGGAACTATAATAATAACAGTAGATCTTTATTAACTTTATTACAATGGTTTATTTCTTAATGAGTACAACAAATAAATTTGATGGTAAACATTATTATTTTGATATAAAATTTTGGTCTTAAATTTAAAAGTGGCTGCCCTAAAAAATAACTCAATAACGATATAATTTAATCAAATTTTAGGGTTTCTAGAAGTGTATGCCCTAATCATAAAATAAAAAATTTTAGTTAGCGAATTTTAAAGGATGGATCAAGTTATTATAGAAGAAAAATATATTGAATGAATTTTTCTAGATCTTCGCATCAAATAACACTTTAGCCCTAGGTATTCACATATTATAATTGCAAGGGTGTAGTAGCGGACTGAAGAGGAGGTGGGGAGAGGGAAGTTCAACCTTATGCCCAATTTTATCCGATTTTAACCGGTCTTCAACCGGGCTCCCTTTAATGGCTTATTCTTATTCTACATGGTTATTTCTTATTTTTTAGATGAAAACATGTATTAAGAAAAAGACTATTATGACCTGATAATCACATATGTTATTTTAAGAATTGCACATATAAAATCTAACGCAACCGTTTTTTAGGCAAAAATGGTAACTCATCTGTTAAATTTCTTCTTTGAGTGACAGTAACCATTAAATTATCAAATACGTGACCAACCCTGGTAATGTGCAATTATATTGATAAAGAATCTCATAGGCACTTATTAAGCATGATTCCACTTGTTATTGAACTTGGTTGGAATTATTATTACTGAAATTCATGTTGTATTTGTCACTGCATACTTTTTCAATTGTGAAACTTTCTTGCTTTTCAAAAATATCTTTCTTCGGATACAAATATTGCATATTCATTATAACTTTTTGTTTGCCAAAGTCCGTTTTTTCAATTTTATAATTTGATCATAGGATGAAATACTTCCAATCGATCTTTTTATACACATATTTTCATTCATCGCTGGACATCTTCCTTGAACAGAATACCTAATATTTAAAAAATTTCAAAAAAGTTATAGCTGATTTAACTATTTAAGCTTGCACATATTCTCAATCAAAGATTTAGCTATCGTAGAAGTTTAACCTAAAGCCATTTATTTACTGTATCGCAATTCTGCTGTCGGGAATAAGTTCTCACGTGCCCATAACCTTGTTTCACCTATTTTTTAGAGCCTGGCTTACTTTTGCCGGATGAATTATTTAAAAGGATAGTATTCATTCTTTTATTTAATTCACTAAGATAAGCGAAGATGTCTTGTGTACTATATATTTGCAAACTAAATCTTTAACTATCTAACTTCATTTTTTAAATTAATTTTTATCTGGAACAGCATTAATAACTTTTTTAATGCATATCTTTGACAATAAAGTGAATAGAGTACTTCTTCCTTTGAAATTTGATCTATGGGAAAGTTTCAGTCATTTTCTATTTTTTTTTCCTGAAAATAATAGCCTTCTCTAAATGATCTCTAAGCATTTAATTAATTTTTGATATAATTCGTATCGTCTAGTGAAATTCCTATTATTTAAATTTTCCTTTTCATTGCTAAATATTTATTGTGGTCTGATTATATTTAGAATAAGTTTTGTTCATCTAAAACTTTATTATCACAAATATTATATAAATTTTATATATAAAATTTATCAAAACTTGACATTCGAATCATATCTTTTTTGAAAGAATAAAAAAAAACCCATAAAATACAATATCTATTCCTTAATAAATCTCTTATTATGATATCTAAATAAGCATGATAAAAATAATTGTTAGTCTTTAGAATATATGAATATGATAAGAGAAAAATCATAATTCACATCTTCTTTTATGAAAAAAAGTATATAAATTTTAATCAGCCCGGCCTCCTTTTTTTCTAATCTACTATATCGACATTTTCTCGTGGTTTCGTGGGCAAATTTTCCACTTGATATGGCCAGTCCGCCTCTGCAAGGGTATATCAGCGTACTCAATTTAGGGGGGTGGATTTTCACTTCCTTACGATCGGTTTTCGTAAATATCATTTTAAAACTAATTTTAAAATATACTACCATGCTCACTCTATCCCCTAAAAATTAGTACGTCATTATAATTTTAAAAAAAATAACTAATTTATTAGAATAATGACTATAATTGAAATTTTCGAAAATCATTTCCAAAAAAACTGACAAGCCAAAATTATATTTAAAAAATGTAATCAGGCCAAAAGCTTATAAAAGACGAATCTAAAATACATAAAATTTATTGTAAAAAAGCCAACTACCCCACCCCCCTCCCTCCTTTAAAATTTTAAATACTCCTATTATTTTATTAGTATGAATAATAACAATTATAATAAAGATCTTTGATTTTTTTAAATATCAATATCTTTTTTAAAATAATTTATATTATGAGAAATTATCAAATGCAAAATAGAAATAAATATCTCTATACAGAGATGGGTTTCAACTTTTATTAAACATTATGTTTATTGCTGGAAAACTTTTAAATTTGTTGTTGTTTGCATTAAGTTTCTTTAACATATTCATTTATTTGATAAAGTATAAATGAATATTTAATATAATTTTTTAGATCAATAAAGTAACTATTGAAAATGATGCGCTGAACTTTTTGAGTAACGATCAGCAATGACGTTACTTTTCTATAGAAAGAAATAGCTAATTAATTTAATAGGTATTAGATTATATTAGGAGTAGTTTATCTAAAACACTACTTATTTAATATTTTTAAAAAACAATTTAATTAATATTTTAAAATGATGAATATAATTATTTTATTTATAACTTTTAGTCATATGGTGTCCTTTTTAAACATAGTGAGTACCTATAAATACGAATTTTTCGTTATTCAATTTGATTCGTATTCTACGAATAATAATAAAAAATTATTCTATTCAAATAAATATATTATTCGTCTATTAATATTTTAGCTTTCTTGCGGAATCTCTTATTTTTACTTTATTTCCACATCTATAAATCACTTTTTTAAATTATAATTATCTTAAGAATTAATTTTCGCGAATTGTTCAATATTTTTAGAATTCATATGATTGAGGAATTATTCAATTCGTATGAATAATACAATTATTTGATCCGAAAAACGAATAATTTGATTCGTATTTTTGTAGGTATCGGGACTAATTTCAAAAAATGTCTTTCCCATGTCTTATTAGAAAGTAAGGAAACTATGTTTTATAAAAAGGACACTATTTGAAAAAGATATTATGTGACTAGAAAATCTATATAATTTGAATAAATATAATGGGTGTTTTAAAAATAAATTTATTCAAATCATTTAGACTTTTGCATTCATTAATTTATTAAAACTTGAAATAGAAATAATGACATCTTATTCACAATCATAAATAAGTTTAAAAATAGTAATCTTAAAACAAGTTCCCAAAATTTAATCTGATGATAGATTCTATAACAATATTTTGCATTTATAGGTAAAAGAAACCAGGACACTAATATTCTGTTAATGACAAATATTTTCCCCTCTGATCTGCCTAATTTAAGAAAATTGGATATGGTTGAAGCTAAGGGAATAGGAAAATAAAATATATGCTAATTCATAGATTGGCTTATGAAAATGTATCTAATCATCATCAGTATCAACATTAAAAAAAATCATCCAATAAAAACATCTATCATTCTAAAATTTTTTGATGATATATATGTCGAAGATAGCCAGTTATAAATATGACTATATAACTAATTTTTTGCAATAAACTTTATTACATCTAAATGAGTTTCCTCCTTTAATACCCCCTTTTAATAAAATATAATACCTTAATCTTATCCAGTTCTCCAATTGAAACGACTTTGCTTAGCGAAGAATGTTTTTGGGTGAAAAATAATATTTTTTCTTAGGTGAAATTCTCTAAAAGATTGAATAAAATTATATATAATTAATCATTTCTAGGCATATTTTTTTTAGACCTTTATTACTTATGTAATGATATATTTATAAAAAATAGATATAGCTATAGAGCGCTTTCATAATTTTTGAGAAAATAGCTAATCAGTAGTTGAACTATTCCTTTAGGGAAAGTAGATAAAAAATTAATTATTTTTATTAAATTAACTTGAATTTTACTCAATATTTATAGAAATAAATTAATTATGTAAAGAGCGCCAAAATTATGTGACTTCTATTTAAAAATGGGCCAGAGCCAGTATTGGATCCTATAGTAATCAAGGAGCCATATGCTTTCATACTGCAGCCATTTTCAAAAATTATAATTTTTTATTTCACAATTATTTATATAATTATAAATCTATATCAAATTTTTGTATAATTAAACAGATGGAATTAAACAATTACGTTTTCCTAGTATTTACAGTGTTGTTGACATTATTCTGGCTTTACACCTATTTCTACCTGCCAGAGACTCAAGGTAGAACTTCAGATGAGCTCGCTCGTCTCTTCATGACTCCTCAAGAAAAGAGCAAAATTTATCAATTTTGGAAAAATTATCACTTCAAAAAAGGCAATAAAAATACTCCGCATCTGCACGACCACGATCATAAAACTCATTTTTAAATATCAATTAGAACCTTTGTATTTTTATTTTTAAATTAGCATATATCTTCATATTTTAAGGTTAATCATATTTTTTTTCAACATAAATTTCATAATATTTAAAAACTTAAGTATAACAAAAGAATGTTATGTTTTATAATCATAAAAATTATTTTATTTTATATCTTAATTTAAATATATGTTTTTGTTGTGTTTATATTTCAATTTTTTATTTTCTTATATAATTTTTTTATTTATTTTCTACCCGTTTAGATAAATTTAAATGTTAATTGATTATTCTTTTTAAAATATATATAGTTGATAATTGTGATAATAATATATAATAAATATTCCAATTTCAAAGATCTATTTCGCTCCTTAAATAAATATTTCAATTTTTTAATTATGTTCTATGAATTTTGTAAATTATCAAAAATACTCTTATTTTCTATAAATAATTCTACCCCAGGCAAAATTAATAAGTTGTGGAAAACAATGCACTCCAAAAAAGCAATAAAAATACTTCGCATCTTCACAACCATGATCATTAAGACTTGAATTAAATTTTCATCTTTGTAATAATAAAAAGAATCATTCTTTTTAAATTAATAATATTCTAGATATTATCTTCATTTTTTCTATTTTAATCAAATTTGTTTAATATATTAGTAAAGATCCAGCAAGGCCTGGCCCTGATCTTTAAAAAGGTTCAGCTTAGTCGTAATAAAATTGGGTACAAGTTGCCCGGCCCATAATTTTTAAGAAAAAATTTACAAATTTAATTATTCTAAGTTTTTTGCCTAGTCCGTATTTTTTTTAGTTTAAACCTCAAACCGGGACATGCAAATGAGGGCCATTCCATGGGAAATTTCTGTAAATAAACTTAGGTAACTTAAGTAGTGGCCAATTTTAGCATTCTAGCTCTTATATTTTTGGAGATATCAAGGGTCAAAGTATGAAAAATTACTTCTTTTTAAGCTTGTCGATTGTCATTAACTCACTGTGTGACAAATTTCGACGATTTTTTGGGAGAAACTAAAATAAACATGTTTTAAGACAGTTTTTTATGCATATTCTAAATCCGCTGTCAGTTTTTTTCTAGCACGTCAGGTTTTTTATTTATTTTAGGTTAAAGTGGCCAAAAAGGTCATCTTTAGCACTTTTAGAAGGTTTATAATTTCGGTTCTAATGATCCCTACAACTAAAAAAATATTTTAATTTTTGCAGCAAACCTTCCTTATTATTATTATACATTTTTTTTTATAAAATCCTTACTCAATTTTTAAACAACCTATATTTTTTAATTTACCTTTATTTATAAAATCTTTTTTAATATCATTTAATATATTTATTATAAAAAAAAATTTATGAAAGAAATTAAATGTTTATGAAAAATTAAGCGCGAAAAAAAATAATTCTTCTCCTTTCTTCCTACTCGTTATTTGGCATTATTATTTATTGCCCATACTACGGGTTCAAGGTACTTCATTGGAAAATCATATATTTTGATATAAATTGATTAAAAATACAAATATTCTTAAATACATCTAAAAAAGATAAATATTAATAAAAAATTACCAATTATTGCATTTTAAATGAATTTTGCCTCAAAAATGCACAATTCAAAAAGAGTACAAAGTAAAAAAGTGGGTACAGATATCTGATTTTGGTATAAATTGATCATAAATGCATAAAATATTACTAAATACAACTAAAAAAGATAAATATTACCTTAATTTTGCTTTAAAAATGCTTTATGCAGAGAAAATTCAATAAAAGTGTACAAATTAAAAAGTTCGAAAATATCTGTACCGACGTTTTTAATTTATAGATTTTGGTTGAATTTTCATGGCATGAAACATAATTAGAATTAATATAAAATCTTGAGCATATTTGAAGCAAAATTATATAAAATTTATTTTCTAAAGTTAATAATTTTTATAGTAATTTAAATTGAAAACTTAAGACCCCCAAAACGAAATTCTTTACCATTTTTCTCAAAAACCAATCGATAAAAAATTATAAAAATTAGTAAATTTATAAAGAAAATTTTCAGGGATTTTTATTTGATACTTTTTAAAATATATCCGTATAAAGACCTATATTTTACCATTTTTGAGATTTCGAAAAGTTGTCTTTATACAGTAATATTTTTAAAACTTGACGTGTAGGGAAAATTTGGAAAACGGATTCGAACTCAGCGTCAAATTCTGCACCAAAACTTGTTTTTATTTTCTTCTCCCATTTTTCTTGTCACACAGTGTTATAGATGTACTAATCTTTATCTTTATTTGCACGTTGGTCATAGACCTGCCCAAATGTGAGCGTACGTGAATTATATGAAGGCCCATCCTCCATATAATTATGCCGATTTCTTTACTCAAGGATACCAACAAACCTTGTAACCCAGATATGAAGTATATGAGGGGAACTACACCCAAGCCATATATATGTTTACAAATTTAATAATCTTATCTATATGAATCCCAGAATTGTATCATCAAATATGAATATAGAATTATTATAAAAATTAAATTTCATTTGACATTAATATATTGAAAGAATTAATGTTCATGTCAATTTGATTTCAATTTTCTTATTCTTCCAAAAATATTTCATTTCAATTTATAATAAACTATTTTTTTAAATAAAATTCTAATCAAATTATAGATTAATAAATAGTTTTTCTAATTAGTGATCTGCAAATCACGGCCCGGCCCGTAACGAGCCCCGGGTCCATTTAAAGAAAATTATTTCGATTCGGGCTGGGTAGGATCTAATATTTTTTTTAAAAATTTCGGGCTAAGCTTAAATTTTTAAATATTATATTACATTTTGTCAAATAAATTCTTGAAGAAACAAGGCGCTAATTTTTTTTATTTGTGGAATATTTTTTTACAATAAAAAGAAATATTAAATATTTCTATTTAAATAAATTCGAACCGGACAAGAAGGATAAATAATTTTTATTCCGGTGTAGTATTGTAAAATCAATACCTATTAATAATTTATGACCGAACCTAACTTTTACGAATAAAATCTAAAATATATTTGAAACGATGAATAAAAATATAATAATAAATATTTTACAATTTTAATGGCCGCCAATATATTTGAAACGATGAAAAAATATATAATGAATAGATATTTTACAATTTTAATGCCGCCAATATATATAAAACGATGAAAAAATATATAAGAATAAATATTTTACAATTTTAATGCCGCCAATATATATAAAACGATGAAAAAATATATAAGAATAAATATTTTACAATTTTAATCGCCGCCAATATATTTGAAACGATAAAAACATCTCTTAAAAATCAATATGGTATTGATTCTACAATACCAAAATATCACTATGGTATTGAATCTACAATGATATTATCAATACGGTATTGAAGCTACAATGGGTATTGATTTCACAATTCTAAACCGGGTCAGGCTTTGGGATAAATAAATAAATTTCTTTCGGGATCGGACCGGGCCGGACAAATTTTTTTTAAAAAAATTCGGGCCAGGCTTTAAAAATTAGACTCGATATAGATCACTAATTCTAATATCAAAATAAAGTGATTTTTATATTTTCATTTTTTATGTGGAGATCTTTTTAACATTACAGTTTAAAATCCTTGTAAAGCAAATATTTAAAAAATAAAATATAAAAAATGGTGACTATATAATAATGGAAGTGTGGTCACATAATAAATTATATGCATAATTATAGTTTAAAATAATTTTATTTATTTTAAATATTTTGTGTTTTAGAAAAATAATTATCGTGATCTGATGTAATGGCTCTGATTTTGCTCCTATGTTTTTTAAAAGCTGCTTGATTATGACAAAGGGAAGAGATTTGTTAATTAATTTAGTATATTTATATTTTGTCTAGGCAATATCAACCGGATTCGAATAAACATTATTTGGAAAGGAATATGCATGTGAAGTCCCAGATTAAGGATTTACCTTAAGACAAAAGTACTGAAGTTAAACCATATGGCCCCGGCTTTCATCTGATGATAAATTAGCAGGCTCTAAAATGTTTGGTATTCAATACTATAGTAAGACTATGACTAATTATAAATTGATAGCCACATGTTTTGCATGTATGTCTTGGCTAATGCAATTAAGACCAGGAATCAACCAACTTTTTACATTTTATTCATCTAATGTGGTTGAACGATGTTGTACCAACAGTTAAGAAATTTTTTTTATCAATTATTTTTCATACTTTGACCTTTAATATTACAAAAAATATAATATCTAAAATGCTGAGATCAATATCGAGCTGGGAAAATTCTGAAAAAATTAAAACGGATCGTGTAGGGCAAGGTATACACAAAAAAATTTCTGGCCGGGCAATTAGTAACAAAAATTTGGCCAGGCCGGGCTTAACAATTTATATATAAACAATCAGGCAGTGTATCGCAAATCTCTGATTTTTCGTAGATTTTGAATATAGCCTGGGAATCAAAATTTTGATATATTTTTTTGAATTTAAAGTAATACTTTGATTTACTATTTGAAAATAATTACAATATGTTTTTTTAAGGTATAAACTTTTTATTAAGAACTTTATAATATTTAATACATTGAACGTTAAAAGTAAAACATATATACGTAATTTAAAAAAATATATATATTAAAAATGTCATGTAAACTATTTATATAAAATCTATATAAAAAACTGTATAATAAAAAAATAAAATAATTAGAATAGTAAATTGTATGTTGGGTGGGAGGAGGTCAAGAAAGAGAGGCATGGATGGCAATGCAGTTAGATCTGCATATATCAATAGATATGCGCTGTCTGAGATAGAAGCCTTCCTGAGGGTCACCAGTGATGGCGCGGATTTTTTTACCGAGGGTTTTGAAGAAGGTTAGGGCATGATTGCCAAAAGACCCGGTTGTGTCGGATACGATTGGTATGAGATTGCAATTTGTTAGGGAAGTGTATTTATTAATTTTCGAGTAATCAGCTCGCATGAATGAGTTCTTATTAAAGGATAGAGCAAATCGGTCGATGCAGGTATAGTCCCATGCTAATGGAATTCCATTACTCCATGGTATTAATGTCAGCCCATCTGGACGTATATTATTCTCGGTTGAGAGGCCACAGGGTTCGAGAGTTGCTGGAATTTGAGCTGAGCGTAGAGCACGGAGAATGGTGCCGTTAACTGCACTGTGTCGAGAATGTCTACCTTTAGAGAATCGACAATGAAGAGGATGGTGTCCAAAACAATCAACGGGTTGGGAACATAATGTACATGTGGAGTTGGCCAGTATTTTACAACCAAGACGGAGACCTATTGCTATGCGTAATTCTTCGTTTGTTAAGAGAAGTCCTAAGTTTGAGCTGGGCAAAGCTTCTAACCATTCATAGTCCGATAAGGAAGGCAAAAGTTGTGGAACTTGCAGTTGTGGGAGAGAGAGAGATGATCAACTGTTAAGGATTCATCAACTGTAATGGGATATAATAAATGTGAAAGGATTGATGGGGATCCCTTAGAAGCAGCACTCGATATTAAATATTCAACGGAGTGGCGTATTAATGGAAGATCCCAGTCATGTTGCTTTCGTGATGTGGGGATTGGAGCGGAGAAGGAATTCTCTTTCCAGATTGCTAGGGCGTGGAGAAAGTGGGGGTCTGTGCGATTATTGTTAAGTGATAGCATAATTAAGCGGGAGCTTGATTCTGAGGCTAAAAAAGCAGCAAGGCTGAGTGACACGGGTGATCTTAAGCCAAGACCCCCAAATTTCGAGTGTAAGGAGGCCTGCATCCAAGAATTATGGCTGAATTTTACATTAAGGATGCCTTCTAAAGAGTCTTTGATTGTTGATTCAATATGGGTGAGAATTTCCGGGTATAAGAAAAGTGGGGCAGAGCGGAAGGCGTGTTGGATTTTTGGGATAAATAAAAAGTTTTTGAGAAGGAAGAAAGCTTGATGGGAGGGAAGGACTTGAAGGATTTTATGTAAAAGGTAGAAATTACGGAGAAATTTTGTTTTGAAATATTCGATTGCTTATCTTTTTATTTTAAAAGCTGTCTAAAAATACATCTATATATAATAGAGTAAATTTATAAAATTTTAAACAAGTTATTTATGATATGATCCAATAAAGATACACAATACAGATATCAAACACAATGATTTATAAATGTTGTAAAATAGAGTCATAGAGGAAAGACATAATCGCATTAATTGAGATTGGGAAAAAATAAGACACAGATATTATAAATGTGATGACCGGAAAATTAGCATAAAAAAATCGGGGGGTTGCGGACTTTGTAAAATTTTAACGAGCCGGTCTGACTTTTCGTAAATTTCGGCTTTAGCCAAGAAAATTTTTAAAAAAGTTTTAACGGGCAGGATTGGACGGGCCAGGCTTTGCATACCTCTATGGCATATTCCCTAACAGCCATGCCATATGAGATGTTAAATGTATTTAAAATATCATAATTCAATATTTTTAGCAAAACTTTCTTTAAAATTAAATCCTTCGCTACCTTCATATATATTGAAATAATATCTCCAGCTATATTCTTAGTAAATAAATAAAACACTATGCGCAATTTAATTTCCTACTAAATTGGGTTAAATGTTTTAATACTTTTTTTAGTAATAAATTTTATTTTACCATATCGTGTAGATTCAATAAAATTTTATTTATAAAATATGATCCCAAATTATATAAAATATATTTATTTCTATCAAAAAAATGCAAACAGGATATTTTCATAACAACAGATACATTTTCCCTTTTATAAACTTCTTTTCTGGATTTAACTGTTTCAAAATGAGAGTCATGCGTTCAGCCAATTGCTCTCTAGTACCGACTCGGCTCTTGAATTTATGGAGTAGTTCTTTAGTTGTCATTGGTCTTCTTTGCAGATACCGCTTGACATTTTCGGCGTTCAAAACTATATCCAAATCAGAAGAGGTCAAGTTATTGATAGAATAAGTAGCATCAACTAGGTTAGACGAGTCATCATTTGCTGAATCACCTGAGCGTCTCTTTATCGCTTTGTTATTGGATGTAGTGGGGTAGATGGATATTTCATCGACAGATAATTCGAACGGATATTTTCTTTTGTATAGTACATCTGGGTTTTTATGAATGGGCAAAAAATTATTAATATAAATGGTAGCATTTTAAAAATTAATGAAATTTTCCTCTAATTTTCATATTTAACTTTTGTTCTCTTATTAATTATGTTGATCAAAGGAAAATTTATATTAGCTATAAAAAATTAATATTATAAATGTAAAAATTTAGGTTAAAACGAACAATCGTTAAAATGATCAGCTAAGTTCAAAAAACATAATGTACTATAAATTAAATTGTTCCAAAATCAAAACTATATAAATAAAGGGAACGGATTATAATTTGATATTATTTTAATTAAAAACAATGTCTTAAACATAATATAATATCAATGCGCATTTATAATTTCATATTTTTCACTAGATATTTAAAAGCAATATTAAAAATAAATAAGTAACAGAAAAGAGATGATTTATCAATATAAAATAAATGGTGAATAGTTTTGTTTTATAGTAATATAAATTAATGCACTGTCATCTTGGTTTAATTCCTTTTGGTTCTGATTAATATTTGCAGCAAAGGAGTCTGTTTTTTTCTAATCAAAAAAATTAATAAAAAAAGGTTTTGATATTGTTTTTTAAATCCAATTATTGTCGTTTGCCATAAATTTTATTTATTCCGACAAATCTTACCACCCAAAAATAAAAGTATAAATCAGCAAAATGGTATAAATATATTCAAAACTGTAACTTTTTATATACCTTTATTTCAAATTAAATTTAGGAAATAAGTGTAACCTGTAAAAATATGGACGATCGAATGTTATTATCGTCTATTTCAATGTCGGAATCGTTTGTTGAGGATGAAATAGAACTACTTTCCGTTCCGGAGGAAGACAGGGAACCATTAGAGTTAACAGATGAATTATTATCCGATGAAGAAACATTGCCACCATCTTTTAATATAATTGTAAAAAGTATTTTTATATTTATTGACAATTTTAGAATGTCCAATAACTAACTAAATCGACTAAAAACTTTAAAAAAAAATTTCAGTCATTTGAAATACGAAAATTAATCCCCCCCTCCAACCAATGTAGTTTTGGTTGTAGAAATTTTGTTGTAAAGTGGCTATTAGTATTTGTAACAACATTAAATTATTTATAGCAATATATATTATTATATAGCGTTTTAAGTAAATGATAGCCATGTTGTTCTATATTGTACTATCATGAACTTTAAATATGATAAGGTTATAATAGAAATGCAATTTAAACTGCATAAGGATAAACATGGCTGATTCGTGCGCTTTTTACCCCTTCAGGTAGTATAAAATCTAATGACCATTTCGTTTTTATTTTATAATCTTCATATAAAATTTTATCGAAATCATACAATTCAATTTATAAATTTGTTTTGATTTTCTATTTAGTTATTTCTTAATAATCAGTATTTTATGATAAAACTGTAAAAATTGCTCAACCGATATTATTAAGATTTACATATACCTAAAACAATTTATTCTATATTCAACTCGTATTTTTAGCTTCTTCATTCTTCAATCGAATTATTTGAAAATATTAGAATTCATTCACAAATATTTGAAATTATCAGTAAGTATTCGAAATTATATAAAAATAAATTATTCGTAGAAATTTTTTAAAAAATTAATAATTATATATTCAATATGTTCCAAGTGGAACTTTTCATTATTTTAATTTAGTGATCCATTTTTATACTTTTTTAATTTTAGAACCAAATATTCTATGAATCGTATTTATATGAATAAGAAAAGGAATTATTAGATTCGTATGAATAAAAATAATACCATTACTCGATTCGAAAATTCGAATATATTTTTTTAACTTACTGAATGTTCTTTCAGAAAATTTGAGTAATCGATAAAGAAAATATATACAAAACAATATATAGATTAATAAGTAGCTGTATTAGGACGCGGTATAAATTCATCTAACATCCAGATATGTGTTTATCTACAGTTTCTTCGCAAACACCTTGAGCATCATCTACATTTTTAAGATCTGCAACAAATATTTAAAACAAATCTTCAATCCTTTTAGCCAAGTATTAAATCTTTATATATTCTTGCAACTGAAGTTAGTTCGCTTAGCTTACCATACCATTTCCAAATAAGGCGTTTTTTCAAAGCGAGAAAAAACAAATATACATGTTTATCCTTCCAAACACAACAATTTTTTAAAGCATACGATTGAGTTTCATCTAATATCTAACCATTTTGATATTTATGAACGATTAAATGGCGTCTGATACGATTGAAGTGAACTTTTTTCTTAAATTATGCAATTATTTTAAATCAGAAAACGTAATTATTCAAATAAAATATTAGAAATTTTATAAGCTAAAAGGCAAAATAGTTTGATATTACATCATATCTTGTTGAGTTTACTTAACATCTTTTTGTCTATAAACTTTAATTAATTAAACATCATTATTTTATCGAAGATGCGTATTTTAGTAATCCAAAAAAATGTTTTTTTTACTAATTTATCAGTTTTTTAAATTAAATGAATATTTAGCAGATCAGATATTATAATTATCCCAGAATATCATAAAACAATTACAGTACCTTGATGCATATTATGTTGTTTTCGTAATATTTTTTTACATACTTTTAGAAATTTTATACAATTTGCATGTATTTATTGAAATATTATAAACAATTACTTTATACATATACAAATAAAGATCTTGCAAATTATTTATTACAAAGTTATGAAGAATGCACTTAGTATAATTTTCATTCTTTATAAATCAACATCAACAAATTTTCTATCTTTATCTCTTATATTTTCTTAAATGCATCTCTTATTTCAATTATGTAAAACATGTATATTTAAGATATTTTGCCTACATTATTTATGATTAATGTAGATTTTATAATAAAAATATATAAACTTATCTGATGAATAATATTATAATAAAAATCCATCTATTTATAAAAGTCTTTTAATCTTTTTTTTAGATAACTCATCCCTCTATTTATAAAAGTCTTTTAATCTTTTTTTTTAGATAACTCATCCCTCTAAATTTTCATTGCTTATTCTGTTTGTATAGACTATTTGAAAATAATTTGGTCCTGGTTTCAGGTACTTTAAATGGTTTTTAAATATGAGTAAGTAAATAATATTAGCTTTAAGTAACATTGGTCTCTTGGAGATATATTACTTTTATGCACATATTTATTAAAAAATGTTTTAAAATATTTTATAATATAAAAAATCAGCTGCATAATTAAAATCGTTTGCTGTTTGGAAGTAAAAAAAATATTGCGAAAAATTTGCTTCGTAGAACGCTTTGAAAAAACGTTGTTTGGAATTGGTCATAAAGGCAAAAAATTTCAAAGCCCCTTCGTTATCCCATGATTATTTATTTCGTTGAAATTCCATATTTGGAAATAGTGTACTTATATAATTAGATCTTGATTTTTAGAAAACTTTTGGGTAATATTATAAATAATTTATAAAAATATTTGTTTACTATTCAAATTAGAGGTTGGCGCAGTCCGACCCAGTCCATACGAGCCAGTGGATTTTTTATCAGCTTTTTCAGCCCAATCCCTGATTAAACTTGCCCGCCTTGGTTCGTAAAATATATTCTCTATAAGTGTTCCGCCCATTCAGTAATAATTTTTTATAAAGAAAAACTACATAGATTTCTAATTATTTGGTTTAAGAAAATTTCAAAACTTCGGTTCCGCAGCTTGCACACAATTTATCCGTCCCGGCCCGAAAATAATTGGCTTCAGGCATTGGGCGACCTCCAATTCACATTCATGGATTATATAATATCTGCATATTTTAATATTTAAAAAAAATTTTTGCTCGACTGCACGTGCACTTCACATAAAACGAGAAGTGAAAGGTCAGATTATATCAGGTGCTATCATTACCTGCTTAAATTATGCATTTATAAGTGATGCATATGATAAAGCATTTTGGGGTTACTAAATAGACTCATCTGAGATTCATATAAAAGAATGGACGATTAAATTAATTTCAATATAATTATAACTCGAATACTGAGCTAAAAAGAAATATATCCCACAAGATGATCAGGACGAGAAGACGCTTATATTCGATGTAGGGAAATGTTCGATTATTTATCACGCCAAAGGATTTAAAAATATGTAATTAATCAATAGAACCCCGGAGAATTAGAACATGATGAACCAATAAAGCAAGTAAGTAGAAAAATAGAGGGGTGGGGCTCAAAAGCAACCTGTGAGAAGAGTGAGTTTGAGAGAAAACACCAATTGTCCTAGAACACACTATAAGTGAGAAAAGAGTAGGCAAGATAGAAGCAGTTTAAAATGTAAACCATTGAATACGAAAGGAGAGGTCAGATCATTTATCGGTTTGATGAATTAATATAATAAGTTTATAAAAGATTATGCAAGGATAGTAGCCCACTGGTCGACTTGGTAATGAGATAAAGAAATACGAAACACATTTGGGACATAAATATGGCCTACCAAAGATCCGACATTATGTTATTATAGCGATAAGGCAGAGACAAGCGTGATCAATGACTAGGGATATGCAAGTGGAGCAGTTTTGCAATGAAAAGGAAATAGGGAATTGGCACTCGATAGCCTATATGATCAGGTCCTTGACGATGATTGAGAAAAACAAATTCAAAGAATATATAAATGAAAGAACTTTTACCAGATCACTAACCATGAGTTCAAGTTTTTAAACAACATAACAGAAAGCAGGAATAAGGCTCTCCAATCGATGGGTAATAAGGGTACGAGTATCTAATCGTGAATAGGAAAAATGAAGAAAAGATAGCCGATATTTCAAGGAAACTATTACAACTAATGAATTTTAAAGAAGGAGCGATAGTAATAACTACAACCAAGGATCCTCCATTCAATATAATAAGCATCAAAGGAGAAACATCGAGGGAGGGGGTATTAAATAGTATTCATGGGTATATAAAAAAAAGGGAGGAAAGATATTGTACTTTCTGTAGTATTGAGATTCTTCTTCAAGAATGAAATCGTTTATGTAGTATATGATGTCGTATATTTTAAGAAGGAAGGGATAGTGATTGCGAGACATTACGTTATATGATAATCCAATAACTCAACAAGGGACATATTGGAGTAAATGTTTACTGACCAGATATGGAAAGTAAAATAGAAAATCTTAACATGAGCTGTGCTGAGTACAATAGAAACAGAGCGCCTTATTATTCGGAAGACCCATGGAGCGAGTCACATATGGATATAATGGGTTTAATACATAACGGTTACTATTTGATAATGATCGATAGCCAGTCAAGGGTGTCGAAATAGAAAGGATGAACAGATAACAGCGAAGATGGTAATACTAGGTTAAACCGTGGTGATGCCCAGGATCGCGGAAAATGGAAAGGAGATTAGAAGGGAAAATTGCCTATCCCGGTAAACCTGAAAAAGGGTCACTATACGAGGTATATATTTTTTAGCCAAAGTTATCCTACAATCTTGGCATATCTTTGTAAATCAAGAACTTTGAATATTTATTTCAAAGTTGTAAGAATAGTTGCTGAACCAGTTTCAAGACGTTTAAAATTAAATTGTTTTGAAGATAGCAAATATGCTAAATTATTAAATAAAATGTCAAAAAGATTTTATAATAAATTGACAGAAATGCTTCTGCCAGATAATATTTACATTAAATATAGTACATTAAGATATATTACGAGATTATAGATAATTTTATTCTAGTTTTACATAACAATTTCTTAAAAATAAAAATTTTTTTCTTTTGGAATATCGTTTTATTTTATTTTAAATATTGTGAATTTTTATATAGTGAAAATTATTGAAGTTTATATAAAATAAAACAAAAAACTGTAGTGCGTCTCATTTTATTTTAGTATTTTAGTAAGTATCATAAGTTACTAATCAGTTTATTGTAAATTATAT